CGCACTGTCGGAGGGTCAGCGCTGAGGGAGCGTCGCACTGTCGGAGGGTCAGCGCTGAGGGAGTGCCGCACTGTCGGAGGGTCAGTGCTGAGGGAGTGCCACACTGTCGGAGGGTCAGCTCTGAGGGAGTGCCGCACTGTCGGAGGGTCAGCACTGAGGGAGTGCCGCACTGTCGGAGGGTCAGTGCTGAGGGAACGCCGCACTGTCAGAGGGTCAGTACTGAGGGAGTGCAGCACTGTCGGAGGGTCAGTGCTGAGGGAGTGCCGCACTGTCGGAGGGTCAGTATTGTTTAATTCTCATGAACTTTGAATAATGTTTCCTAATTTATATGTTTTTTATTGTCGTCATAACAGGAAGAACTGCGGATGCTGTAAATTGGAAACGAAAACAGAAGTCGCTGGAAAAGCTCAGCGGGTCTGGCAGCATCTGTGAAGACGAATCAGAGTTAATGTTTTGAGTTTAGTGACCCTCTGATCCTCAGAGCTGTTCCTAAACGTTAACTCTGAATTCTCTCCACAGGTGCTGCCAGGCCTGCTGAGCTTTCCCAGCAATTTCTGTCTTGTTTCTTTTATGGAAGTGTTATCTGGAGTGTGCTGCATGTTTGTGTGAGACGGAGACTGTTTCAGATTGAATGCAGCGCAAGGCTGAGGGGAATGTAAATTTCCAGCTGTGATGGCAGTGTGGTTGAAGTGATCACCCTGAGTTCCTTATGCAGCCGCTCAGCCTGCACTCCAGTGCTGTCCCTCTTCTGTCCTTCTGTTTCTGACCCTCCTCTTGAAAGCTTCTGTTGGGAATAGGTGAATTTGAATTCGATAAAATATCTGGAATTTAGAATCTAATGGTGACCATGAATCCATTGTCCATGGTCAGGAAAAACCCATCTGGTTCGCTATTGTCCTTCAGGGATGGAAACTGCCATCCTTACCTGGTCTGGCCTACATGTGACTCCAGACCCACAGCAATGTGGTTGAATCTTAACTGCCCTCTGGGCAATTAGGGATGGGCAGTAAATGCTGCAATGTCAGCTACACCCTCATCCCATTAATGAATAACAAAGAATATCCTTCCTCTGTACTGTCAGGCAGGCTGTCCCAGGTCAAAACACATTTCTGAATCAAAACTCTCATCTTGCCTCTTTCTCAACTACATTAAAGCTGTTTCCTCCTGTTTGTAAACAACTGCACCTCCCAGTCGCGAACCATTTCAACTCCCCCTCCCATTTCTCAGACGATATGTCCATCCTGGGCCTCCTGCAGTGCCACAACGATGCCACCCGAAGGTTGCAGGAACAGCAACTCATATTCCGCTTGGGAACCCTGCAGCCCAATGGTATCAATGTGGACTTCACAAGCTTCAAAATCTCCCCTCCCCCTACCGCATCCCAAAACCAGTCCAGCTCGTCCCCGCCTCCCTAACCTGTTCTTCCTCCCACCTATCCCCTCCTCCCACCTCAAGCCGCACCCCCATCTCCTACCTACTAACTTCATCCTGCCCCCTTGACCTGTCTGTCCTCCCTGGACTGACCTATCTCCTCCCTAACTCCCCACCTACACTCACCTTTACTGGCTCCATCCCCGCCTCTTTGACCTGTTTGTTTCCTCTCCACCTATCTTCTCCTCTATCCATCTTCTATCCGCCTCCCCCTCTCTCCCTATTTATTTCAGAACCCTCTTCCCCTCCCCCTTTTCTGATGAAGGGTCTAGGCCCGAAACATCAGCCTTTCTGCTCCTATGATGCTGCTTGGCCTGCTGTGTTCATCCAGCTCTACACCTTGTGATCTCCTCCTGTTTGTAGCTGTCAGTTATTGCTCTTTCATTCATCTCTCAAATCTAAAAGAACAACACAAAGTTGAAATATTGAGTGATTGAATTGGTGAAGGACTATTTCTTGCTTAAAAGTTTATGTTTGAAAATGTGTCAGTGCTTTGAGTGAGGGTAAATGTCTTTGTGTGGGAGGGAAACCACTGATGTCCTTCTTTCAGACACTTCTACACACAGACGGTGGGAAAGGTTTGGAAATCTTTTCCACAAATGGCAGCAGATGCTGGATCAGTTGTTCATTATAAATCACAGATTGATAAATTTTTGTTAAACAAATTTATAAACAGATATAGGCCAAAGACAGCTGTGTGGGGTTAGGACACAGACAAGCCATGATCTCGTTGAATGTTGGAACAGGCTTAAGGGGCTGAATGGCCTACTCCAGTTCCTGCGAGCTTATCTCTCAGCTTACGTTTCCCTCACATCCACAGAAACACCACACACAAATGAAACGACAAAAGATACCACAGCAACAACCACCCCCAACTCCGCACAGAATGAAATGGGATGGAAAACCATATCGGTAAGGAAGGGGAGAGGATCCCGTGGCTCAGATCCTGAAATTTTGTCAAAGCTAGGCACTGGGACAACCGCAAGGCCAATTCATCAATTTTCACCAGGATTCAATATTGATGCTGCCCCTGTTCCTGGGAGTGTTTGATGGGGGACAGTGTAGAGAGAGCTTTACTCTGTATCTAACCCCGTGCTGTTCCTGTCCTGGGAGTGTTTGATGGGGGGACAGTGTAGAGAGAGCTTTACTCTGTATCTAACCCCGTGCTGTCCCTGTCCTGGGAGTGTTTGATGGGGACAGTGTAGAGGGAGCTTTACTCTGTATCTAACCCCGTGCTGTCCCTGTCCTGGGAGTGTTTGATGGGGACAGTGTAGAGGGGCTTTACTCTGTATCTAACCCTGTGCTGTCCCTGTCCTGGGAGTGTTTAGTGGGGACAGTGTAGAGGGAGATTTACTCTGTATCTAACCCCGTGCTGTCCCTGTCCTCAGGGTGTTTAATAGGAACAGTGTAGAGGGAGCTTTACTCTGTATCTAACCCCATGCTGTCCCGGTCCTGGGAGTGTTTGATGGGATAGTTTAGAGAGAGCTTTACTCTGTTCCTGTGAATTTTCTGTCCTGCAGTTTCCTCACAGATGATGATGCTTCTGCCATCGAACATTCTGCCTGGTGGAGACACTTAAACAGAGAGAAACAGTTGGAACCCAAGCCCACATGGACAACACGGTTCTCCCTAAAAGATATCTATCCAAGAAACTCGGAGAACTTCAGGTCCTCAATTCAAGTCTGTCTCATTAAACACAATTAGCTTTTGTTCCTGTGGCACTGAACGCACTCGCTCCATTGTCTTAACTGGAGATGGTCATCATCAGACGGTTTCATCTCTCAGTGTAAACAGTGTTTGAGTGTTAACCCTTTAATGTTGGAATGACTCTGAATCTTATTGACAATTATATCGTGTTTCCTCTCTCCTCGCTGTCAGGAGACTGTACCTCCAGTGTCTTTGCAGTTATGTTGTTTAGTTAAAGTGGCAGAATTCTCTGTGTTTATTTGTATAAATCGGGATGTAAAGGGGCACAAGCTGGTGAAATGCAGTAGCACACTGCAATGACCACTTTTGAATTTTGCAATCTTATAAAGTCTGCCGTGAGGCATTTAAGACCAGATGGCTGGTGTCGTTTTATCAGCTCAGCTGAAAGGATCAGAGAAAGTAAGAATTTTGATTCACTGACACTGAAAGAGGCCATTCAGCCCATTGTGCCTGCGCAAGCCAAAACCAACCCATTCAAATCAAAGTCTTCTATCGTCATCTTGTGAGGTTTAAAATCAGTGAGAATAACTTAGAAAAGTCAGACCAAACTCCTCAATAGTTTCATGGGTAGATATCTCATCAGTTTCTTCTCAGATTGGACATTTCCTGCTCACAATAACCCTTTGAATCAGGTGGACACAAGACTGTGAAGGGATACAGTTCTGACACGCAACATGGTCATTGTGTGAAGGCAAGGGCTGGCTCACAGGCAGGACCTGATTCTGGTTAAGAGTCGAAGAATAGCCATAAATCCATTGTTGATTGTCGGAAAAACCCACTTGGTTCTAGAAGGTCCTTTAGGGAAGGAAACTGCCATCCTTACCTGGTCTGGCCTACATGTGACTCCAGACCCACAACAATGTGGTTGACTCTTAACTGCCCCCTGGGCAATTAGGGATGGGCAAGAAATGCTGGTACAGCCAGTGATGCCTGGATCTGTGAATTAATTCTTTTTTTTAAATTGACAGAATGCGGCATTAAGAAGCCCGAGCAAAATTTAAGTCAATAGGCATCAAATCAAATGCTCTGCTGGTTGGAGTCATACCTGACACATAGGAAGATGGTCGTGGTTGTTGAAGGTCAGTCATTTCCCTTCCAGGCCATCTCTGCAGGAATTCCTCAGGGTAGTGTCCTCGGCCCAACCATCTTCAGCTGCTTCATCAATGACCTTCCCTCCATCATAAGGTCAGAAGTGGGGATGTTCGCCAATGATTGCACAATGTTCAGCACCATTCACCAGTCCTCAGATACTGAAGCAGTCCATGTCCAAATGCAACAAGATCTGGACAATATCCAGGCTTGGGCTGACAAATGGCAAGTGACATTCGTGCCACACAAATGCCAGGCTATGACCATCACCAATAAGAGAGAATGTAAGCATCACCCTTTGACCTTCAGTGGAGTTGCCACACTATCAACACCCTGGGGATTACCATAGACCAGCAACTGAACTAGACCAGCTGTTTAAATACTGTGGTTACAAGACCAGGGTAGAGTATACAAATCTTGACACCAGCCAGGACAAAGCAGCCCATTTGATTGGCACCACATTCACAAACATCCATTCCTTCCATCGCCGACGCTCAGTAGCAGCAGTGTGTACTATCTACAAGATGTGGAGGTGCTGGTGTGGGACTGGGGTGGACAAGGTCGGAAATCACACGACACTAGGTTAGAGTCCAACAGGTTTATTTGAAAACACAAAACTTTCCAAAAGCTTGTGTTTTCAAATAAACCTGTTGGACTATAATCTGGTGTTGTGTGATTTCCGACCTTATATACACATTACACTGCAGAAATTCACCAAAGATCCTCAGACAGCACCTTCCAAACCCCCAACCACTTCCATCTAGAAGAACAAGGGCAGCAGATACATGGGAATACCACCCCCTGCAAGTTCCCCTCCCAGCCACTCACCATCCTGACTTGGAAATATATCGCCGTTCCTTCTGTGTCGCTGGGTCAAAATCCTGGAATTCCCTCCCTCAGGACATTGTGGGTCAACCCACAGCACATGGACTGCAGCGGTTCAAGAAGGCAGCTCAGCACCACCTTTCAGAAGGTCATTCAACCATGAATGCTGGTCTAACCAACAACACATACATTTGATTGCATCATAGAGTCATAGAGCTGTACAGCACAGAAACAGACCGTTCGGTCCAACTCACCCATGCCGACCAGATATCCTAAATTAATCTACTCCCATTTGCCAGCATTTGGCCATATCCTTCTAAATCCTTCCTATCCATGTCCCCATCCAAATGCCTTTTAAATGTTGTAATTGTACCAGCCTCCACCACTTCCTCTGGCAGCTCATTCCATACACGCACCATCCTCTGTGTGAAAATGTTGCCCCTTAGATCCTTTTTAAATCTTTTCCCTCTCACCTTAAATCTTTGCCCTCTAGTTCTGAACTCCCTCAGTTTAAGGAAAAGACCTTGGCTATTCACCCTATCCATGCCCCTCATGATTTTATAAACGTCTATAAAGTCATTCCTCAGTGTCCAGGGAAAATAGCCCCAGCCGATTCAGCCTCTCCCTATAACTGAAACCTTCCAATCCTGGCAATATCCTTGTAAATCTTTTCTGAGCCCTTTGAAGTTTCACAACATCTTTCTTGTTACAGGGAAGAAAATCCATGTTTTTAACCAAACAGTGCGCTTCACTGAGCTGGTGCTGAGTTTAAATTTCCCTTGGATCCCAGATCCAATTATTTCGGTTTTACTTTTCCAGCTGAGCTGACCTACATCTGAGTTTGCGTCTCACTTGTTTGGTCACGCAACACTCCAGGGTCTGATCCCAGGCTTCGCCCCAGCTCCAACAACTGCTCACCTTCCCAACAGATCAATCTCTTCTCCTGAGACAGCATCCCATTGGGGGTGACATGGCTACATTGCTGTATCCGACCAGTAACATAATTCCAGTGGTCTTGCTGTTCTGAGCAGAACCCTACAGCTGGGGACAATTTTCTGCCTTCATTTCAAACAGCGAACAGCAACTCCTTCTCACTGATAAATGAATGAACTGTGACTGCTGTTCACTGACATTTGACCCTGACCTTAATGACTCACTAAAAGTCTTGCACAGGTCCTAGTCTAAGACACCAGCAAATGCACCCTGCCTCAGAACATCCTGTACTTTCATCGTCCTACCTTGGCAAGCTGGCAGCCTCCACAGCACAAATACACAGAGAAACTATTTTCTACAATTTCTAAAACTGTGCTCATTTAAACAACCTTCTGATAGACTGAAAGAATAAATCTGTTGTTCAAAGGCTTTAAAAAGCTTCTGGGAAGCACCGAGATTCTATGGTGTACATTAAAGCTGATGGAAACATACTTTTTCAGAAGCAGGAGCAGATATGGCCTCAGTTCAACAGCCGGTCTGAAGGACAGTCAAACCTGACCCTCCGACAGTGCGGCTCTCCCTCAGCGCTGACCCTCCGACAGTGCGGCACTCCCTCAGCACTGACCCTCCGACAGTGCGGCACTCCCTCAGCACTGACCCTCCG